TGCTCTCAATCCACTCATCGCTCAGCCTGTACCTGTACTTGGGATTGCCCTGACCCAAGGGCAGGGCCTTGCACTTGGCCTTGCTGAACTTCATGAGTTTTGCACAGGTCCACCTCTCAAGTTTGTCAGGGTCTCTCTGGATCACCTCCCTTCCCTGAGGAAAGGGAGGTGATTCTTCCCCTCTTCGGCCTTCTGGCCCTTAAAGGGGGCCTACAGGAAGAGCAGGGAGGGACTCTTGATCAAGGGGTGTAGTGATAGAACAAGGAGTAGTGGTTTTAAACTAGAGGAGGGTAGATTTAGACTGGATATAAGGAATTTTTTTTTTTTTTTTTTTTTTTTTTTTTTTTTTATTGGGGGTGGTGAAACACTGGTGCAGGTTGCCCAGAGGTGGTAGATGCCCCATCCCTGGAGACGTTCAAGGTCAGGTTGGACGAGGCTGTGAGCAACCTGATGTAGCTAAAGATGTCCCTGCTCACTGCAGGGGGGTTGGACTAGATGGCCTTTAAAGGTCCCTTCCAACCCAAACCATTCTATGATTCTGTGATAAGGGTTATAGGACATGAATTATGGGTTAAGCCTAAGGAGGAGAACAGATAATTTGTACTCCATCAAGAAAGAATTAGATTTTGCAATAACTAATATGTCATTGTTTTATCTTGTTTATAGCTATACTGCTGTACTGTGGGCTTTTATTTTGTAAGACCTCTGAAGCTAAGCAGGGTCTTACCTGGTCAGTACTTAAGATGGGTGGCCTCCCAAGAGCATCATGTGCTGCAGTAAATGTGTTGGTAGCTCAGCAGGGAATGTTTTCTTTCAACTCAATCTTTAAGCAATACATTGGCACCGCATTTGGAAATACTTATGCTGCTGGATATCCATCTTGTGTGAAGGGCGTTTATTCTCTGAGGATATTAAAGCTTCTGCATCACTATTAATGTTTTGGGATACCCAGAGCCAACCCAAATTTGTGTGGTGAGAAGTCAGAATGTCACTGAATAAAAAATGTGAAATTGTTCACTTTGCGTTCGAAATTGTTCATTTTACACTGCAAGGGGGTGCAATATTAGGATGTTATGGGAAAGCTTTTACGCTGTGCAAACCCATCGCAAATATTTTGTGTGCTGACAGAAAATGACTGCCAGCCACTGCTAGGCTGACACCATTGCAGTAGTTTGTGACTGAAGTTGTGAAGTACAGTACTCAAAAGGTCTTTGAAATTCTGTGTAGATGAAAGGTGCCATGCGAATATATATTCTATTCATTGTTCCTTTTATGCATACGGTGTGCTTCTGGAGTGTGAAAAGATTTTATAACATTACATCCTACATACCTAAAAGGAGATATGAAACAGTCATGATAAAACTAGCAGGAAAAAAAAATGCTAAATGTGTCTGCATTTAAAAAATCTTAGCAATTATAAAAGTTAAAAAACTCTTGTATATGGGTGATACAGCTGCATCCATAATGAAATAAATGCATAGATATTATTATCAGAATGTTTGCAGGTATTAAAGTATAGTGAGTAAACCAGGTGATTAATCATGTCACAACTTGTTAGAAAAGAATTAAAACAAACCTGAAAACTCAAATCTGACTTTTTTGCTAGGTTTAAAACCACATCAACAAGACGACTTGTATTTCCAGTGTTACTTGCATGTCTGGTTAAGAGGCAAGAGCGAGTATAAGGAAATTGTATCAAAAAGAATACTAACTACATTTTTAAAGGCAATTTGTACAATTGGCCTATTATAATTTCATTTCAATTTCTGTAACTAAACAAACTGTTCCACTTCAGCAATCACAATTCGTGGAGTAACCAGGAACTTGAATTAAAACATAACCCAGTGTTGCAACTTTATCGCTAAACAGACATTGACTGTTCTTAACTCATTTAGTCATAGTGCTGTTTCCAAAAAATAAGGTATCTTTTTGAGAAAACATTAAGCAAAAAGAACATCTAATTGTTTTTTTTAAAAAAAAAAGCACCAAAACATTTACTTTATTTTATTTTAAATATACTTCCTTAAAGTAAACTGTCACTGTAAAAAACTTCCCACAATAGCCTTTATTTCTGATGTTTCAAATCCAACAGCCTAATGACATAACACTTCTTCATTTTTAAAATGCAATGTCCGCAACAGTTATGCACCATCATGATGTACTGCTATATTGTTATTTCACACTGAAAGTGCGATTTTAAAACATCAGGAGTTTGCTTTCACTTGTCTTGCTTAAGTATGGCCCTGAATTATCTAAATATGGCAAATCTACTGTTTTCTAGATTAATTCCTCTCAGTTTAATACCAGAGGCAAACTTTGTGTCTCCTGCTTTTCAGAAAGGATGGATCATGCCCTTAAACTCCATCAGACCTCAGGAGGATTGAGCAGGAGGCAGGTGCCAGGTGGCCTGTCAGTAGGGACAGTTACAGTCCCCCTCACTGGACTTGATCTGTTCAACTGCCCATGTTAACCAGTCTTCAATTCTCTACTAATAATGCTGCATTTTGATGTTCTGTATTCTATGCTGTTTGTCCTGAGAAGTTGTCTGAATTTCGTGCGTGTCTTTCCGTTGACTCACTTCAGTCTGTACTTTTGACTCACTGCCTTGAACAGTTCACCAACATAGCAGGGCACTGGTGAAACGGGGACTGGAGGTTTTTTTAGCTGGTTGTATTTTAAAGATGATCTTGCAACTCATTATTACAAGTGATTCAAGGGTTACTGGTAGGAGCAAAGGTGTGAAGATGGGCCTCAGAGCCCAAAAGCATACAGAAGGGACACCTAAAATATTCTCTGTTAGTATCTCCTTTTGTCTTTCCCTTCTGCTTGTTTTTAGTTAGCACATTCTGTTTGTAAGTTTTAGTATCCGATATTTCCCTTTCTGTCTTTGTGACCAATACAAGTATTTTAAGCGGTTTATGACTTGTCTTTCTAACTGTAACTGAGATGGACTGTCTTTCATGGTTTGCAGTGCTAAGAGTTTGTGTGAAAAGGTAACTATTGTTTTTCCAGAGCCCTGTTCCTCATATCATGGTAGTAGTATGGGAGATGATGATATTAACATGTGGTCGGGAGCAATGGATGAAGGACTGCTGGGCCAACATCTTGCAGAAAGTGGAGTGGAAATAGATCCTGAAAATGAAGAACTCATTCTGAATATTAGTTCTCGACTACAAGCAGCTGTTGAAAAGCTTCTGGAAGCTATCAATGAAACTTCAAATCAGGTAAGGTGATCTAATAGTGAAATGTTTTGAATGTTGTGTCTAAGTTATTTTTTTCTTTATTTTCTTGGAATTTGTTTTTATAAGCCTAAAACCTGCAGGCTCATTTTGAAAGCTGAAACAGTACTTCAGGTGCCTATGCCCAAGAAAGTCTGCTTCAGCGTGGCTTTAGTGGTGAATTCAGATTCATGTTAGAAATCTGCTTTGGACTGAAGAGAAAGCCTGGATTTGGGCACGTTTATCAATCTAGGGCAGTCTTTCATTGCCCATACGGGTCATCTGTGTTCTGCTGCAATCCAGATGTGAGACAGGAGCTGTCAGGGCACATTGAGCTGGCCCTTGTGAAGAGGGAGGATTTAGGGGAGCTGTGTCCAGTTCTGATAAACATTTTAGTCAATTGACTGGCCGAGAAGGTGGAGCACTCCTGCTGTCTCTTCCAACTACGCTTTAATTGTGGCCGGTTAACCACATATCCACCTTGCTGTCAGAAAAGGAGTCTGCATTCCAGCTTTCCGGTATTTTTCTGTGAGGTATGTGATGCGTGAATAGTCTCCAAAAACGAGGCAGTGTATGGGTGCTCCTTTCTGTTTCATTTGGGACGTTTTGTGTGGAGGGACGTTTTGTGTGGAGGGACGTTTTGTGTGGAGGGACGTTTTGTGTGGAGGGACGTTTTGTGTGGAGGGACGTTTTTTTGTGTGGAGGGACGTTTTTTGTTGTGGGACGTTTTGTGTGGAGGGACGTTTTGTGTGGAGGGACGTTTTGTGTGGAGGGACGTTTTGTGTGGAGGGACGTTAGTTGGTCTCAGGAGTACTTCCCTGTAAATCAAAATGGGAGCTATTGAACAGGCTACCCAGAGAGGTGACAGAAGCCCTAACCCTGGAGACATTCAAGGTCAGGTTGGACAGGGCTTTAAGCAACCTGATGCAGCTAAAGGTGTCCCTGCTCACTGCAGGGGGGTTGGACTAGATGGCCTCTAATGGTCCCTTCCAACCCAAATCATTCTGTGATCCTGTGACCTAGCTTAGCCCGTTCATATTACGCTGCTTCTATCATGCTTTACTTTTAGATTACAGACATCTCAGTTTGGAGGTATCAAAGCAAATGCTCTATCTCACTGTAGCTTTTTAAACTCTCTTGAAGAACTCAGTCTGTAGAGTCAGGTCTTTAATCTGTTTGAGACTAGAATTCGAAGGATACAATGTGTTTTATGCTACGGACCCATATGTTATCTTAGGAATTATATTACTTGAAAAGTCATTGCTTTCTTGTCTCTAGGTGTAACGTGTCTAAATCATAACTACTGGAAGTGAAGGAGAGAAGCTGTGATAATGAAAGTAATGCGAAAATTCATCTGTCTAATACTTTAAAAGTTTTAAGCATTTAAGCATTTGTTACTATTGAAAAATACTTCAGACATGAAGTTGATAATATCTTCTTTTTTTAAAAAAAAAAGAAGAAAAAGATAAAAGACTTAATGTGTGACTTACTAAAGTTAAAAGTAATTTAAATACAAATTTGGTGAACCCACCTCTGGCTTACTAAAGCAAGTAGTCAAGTGGATCTTGTAAATCAGTTTCTGCATTGCATTTATTTGCAACAGCTGTCTTCTGTTTGAGCATGTATTCAATTAAAAAGAGATGTTTTGCCTTTTTTAGGTCTTTTTTCAGCTTAAGCTGTAGCATTACACAATAACGAAAAAGGATATACAGATATTCCAAAATATTGAGTTCTTAAAAAATATATTAATAGACATTTGTAGGAAATCTTGCATTTAAAGACCAGATGATATGGATAAAAAATTTTGAGGTTTTGTAGTAATTAAGAATTCATGCTGCAATTATACAAGTATTGTCAATTATTTATTCTACTTGGTGCTTATTTTTTCTTAACATTTCCTTGCTGATCTTCAGATGCAGTAGTTTTATACATAGCCCTAAATTATTTTACTTCTGTGACTCATATTTTTTCAGTATTTACTTTTCATGATACCGATGAAAGTACTCAGTGTATTCTAAGCAGCATATTTTTTTTTGTCAGTTGGTCAAGAAGGTTTATTTTCCCGTCATAGCTTTGTAGCTGAGACCTTGCCAATACCAACAACAGAGTTACGTTTTGTCTCAAACAGATATATAGACATTTTTTTCATTAATATGGATTATACAAATATGTATCTGGATTTTTTTTTAAGTTAATAAAATGTTAACCTGTTTACACATTTTCCAATAGTATTAAGTATAAATATTGACGTCTTTGCTGGCTGTTCTGTAGAGGTACTTTGTAGGCATTCAAACTTCTTTGCTTTGCAATGTCTGGTGTCTGCTTACTGGGTTATATACAGTTCCTGTGTATGCCGAAGGTTTGTAGGTGACTTGAGAATTATTTTTAAATATTCAGAAATTGAATACTTTATTTTTTCTACTCTATGATATTTTATAGTCTAAAACTAATTACAGGCAGAAGGGATTTTAACCTTTCCTCTTAATCAGTTGTGTTGTGCACACAGACATGTACCCATCTCCCGGAATAAACTTAAGAGTGAGAGAAACCTGGCAAAATCTTCAAAGTAACTATTTGAGACCTGTCTGAACACACACTTTCAGACCTGAAGTGCAGTTTGACTCTTTTTCAGGCAAGGCATATGGTGGGTGTGTTAATTCCGATTCCACCTGCTGATCTTGTGCATAGGTAAGGAGGTCAGGCCACTCCCCTGAACTCTTGTGGTTGGGAGATCCTAACAGGAAGCCTTTAAACTAGCAGAGTTTGAGAAAGTTCTTCCTGTTGCATTAACTGCAAAAACAAGAATGAAGGCAAATAATGACATATCTGTATTTCTCTTTCATTTGCCGTAGTGGAGCTGGAAAATCATTTTTAGTTTCTGTTCTGCTAGCTTGCTTGCCTGCTGCAGTGTGCCTGTGCAGGTAAAACAAAATTATGTTTCCTTGCCTTGGAAATTATCTGCCAGCTGCTATTGGAACATTTCTGGTGCTTTTTCATGTGAAACTTCTCTAAGAAAGATTTTTTGGCGTGACCATGCGAAGTTTTCTTGCACCTCTCTCTCTTTTGAATTAATCCACTCCTGCAGGAGAGTGTGATCTGAGGCTCCTGCTGCTTCTGAGTAGGTTTGTCACCACCAGTGCTGATGTGCGTCTTCAGACTGTTAAATGTATATGTTCTGTTACAAATTCCTGTTAGAAGTTTCTAAAGCCAGCCTAGCTAGTGCAGAATACCCACGTGACGGTTAAGAGGACAGCAGCAGTGATATTTTTTGGAATGAATTCGTACCGCACTTACTGGACATCTAATCTGTTTAGCGGTTTGAGGACTGAAGACCAAGAAGATACATACGAGGTTGAATCTCGTGTGCCTTTACCAGATCCTTTTCCTTTCAGTGAACACTTGGATGAGGATAATTCTGTAGTTGTAAATACTTCAATTTTTCACCTCAGCCACAAAAAAAAGGGGCACATTTTAAAAGTTGTCTCTAAAATCTCCTTGCCTACACCTCCCTATTCAGTAAGTATAAAAGTTTTTAAAGGAAATTATATTTTAAACCAGCTTAAATAGAAGAGAATGCAGTAAAAAATGATATAAACTTGTCTCTGTCATTAAAGTTATTATGTACTGCTGACAGGCTTTTTTCCTAGACCTTTTTTTTTGGACACTGGAAAAGCTTTAAGTGTATAGTTCTCTTTGTTCATTTCTAACAAAAGAAATTTAGGAGACACAGAAACACATTGAATTAGAGATCTGAGATCTCTTTTTAAAGCACTTTAATGTTACTTATTATGTTATATTTTTCTCACTGTGAATAATTAGGGGGGGACCTGCAGTCGTTTAAAATTGTTCCTTTATAGCTTTCATGAAGTGACTAGTAACAGTAATTAGCACAAGATTGCTAACGGCTTCCAGTGATCCCATGAAGAAATTTTTGTTCTTGAAAAATTATGTTCTTATTTGTGCATCTTTTTGGTTTTGCCCTGTGCTATTTTTAGTAACACCTTGAGTTCTTAGTAGTGAAAAGAGCTGGAGAATAATTTTTATTCTAAGTTTTAGTTGGAGCATTCTGATGCATTAGAGTAAGCCATTTTTATGGTTGTTGATGTACAGTAAACCTATCAAGTTTCCCTTTTACCTGAGATGGTCTTTCATTAATACACTTCAAAATGTAAGAATAAGGTAAGAATACTCTGTGAATTTAAAAGTATCTCAATCTGGTGGAGGTATTCGGCTGCAGTATTTATACCCTTCTTTAACTCCTGTCATAATAAATAGTTCACATTAATGATGTCCATCTAAAAAGGAATGCTGTAGAAAAGAAATCAAGTATTTACATTCAGTATATTATAAAAGAGAATGTATTGATTATTCAGACATTCTTTTCAAAGTGTAATTTTATTTATAAGTGGATAATTTTGTGTGCAGTGTTCTATGAAATGTTCCTAACCTATCTGTCTGAGATTTTAATGCAAGCTAATCATACTCATGACTTAGCTGGAGATGGTAGGAAAGCTCCTAATTTCTTCAAAAATAAAAGAAAGAATATGTTTATAGAAACTGTAGCAAAGCCACAGATGTTACTATCTTACAAATATCTGCCGATATTCATAATATTAGAAAGGAAAAGGAAAAAAAAAGGGGGGAGGAGCAGGAAATATGTATTATTTTGTTTTCTGACATTGTTCTTACTCAAAATAAGTTGTCTTATTTTGAATACAAGCCTTACAAAGAACTCATGCCTAGTTCAGCTCTGACAGTTTGTATTTGTGTCCCTCGAAGAGGTGGATGTAGTGTGTAAATGTTAACAGTTGAGAAGTAGAGATCTTCTTGTAACTGAGTCCGGTTTGCTGTTATCTTAGATGAACATTTTGTGTAATCAAAACTTCTAACATTGGAGTAATGTTCCTTCTTTACTATTTTGGTTTTTTTTTTAATTCTAATTTTAATTCTTTTTAAAATTATCACTTTGGGTGTGTCTAAACTGAGCGGTAAGTATACAATTTTATGCATTTCAGTTCTGGTTTTCCAGTACTTTAGGATAGTGACGTGATGAGATTGCACTGTATCTCTGGTAGGTTAAATATTAACCCATTAGACAAGCAGAGAAGAGTAAAAAAAATCTTCAATAGCTCTGTTAGGTGTACACAATTGGCAGAAGCATTGCTTTAGTGACTTGTTGGCTGAAAAGTGCAGTGGATTCAACATTCACGTTTTCCTGGTGTTCTCATTTATCTTCATCTTAAGGAGAAAAAGAGATGAAGCACCACTTGTGTTGATTTATGTCCAAATTTTTGCCAGTTTTATGCAGTATTTTTTAGCCATTCTAAGTATATGGCGGGTGATAGCTTACTTGTATTTAGTACAAAACTCGTATGTAAATAAAGGTGAATCTAGTATAAACTCATAAACCAGGAATTACCGGAACAAAGATACGGATTTAGCCAGGTGGCTCGTTGAGTTCACTATACAGACAAAGCCTGTTTGTTTAGACTTTTGTATTGAGTCAGTCTTCCTGTTGTAGCCTGTGAATACATGTTCAGGAAAGATCTTATCAAATGTCCACTAAAGTTATGTGAGACTTCTCATCACACTATAAAGCAATTGTTAATTAAATAGAAATTATAGAATAGTTACTTATCAGAAAACCTTTGGTTTCACTAAATTCTGTAATTTTTTTCCTGTGGTAGCTTGAACATGCTAAAATTACTCAGACAGAACTCATGCAAGAGTCCTTCAAAAAGCAAAAAGAGGCCACAGAATTCATCAAGTATCAGGAAGAACTACAAGAACGTCTTCATGAAGAAACCAAAGCCAGAGAGCAGTTGGGTTTGGAGCTTAGTAAAGCTGAAGGTGAGTAGCTTTTTTTTGATAAGTTATTCAACTTTGCAGTCATTTACCTATTAATTGGGTAAGGAAATTGCAAATTAAATCAATTTCTTTGCAAATTTTAGAATTTTATCAGCTTTCTGGATAGTTATGGGCAAGATGACCTCTGGAGGTCCCTTCCAACATCAACCACTCTGTGGTTCTGTTTCCCAGCTTTGTCTCACTTACTATCATCTGACTTATTAAACATAATAGGTTGGATATATGTTACTATCCAACCTATCTTCAAAATTAATTTATTTCATCATAACATGTCTGTCTGTGCAGACGAGCTTAAATATTAACAGCTTAGAGTCATAGAATCAGAAATAGTTGAGGCTGGAATCCACCTCTGGAAATCATCTGTTCCAAGCCCCTGCTCAAAGTAGGGTCAGGTAAAGCAGGCTGCCCAGGACTGTGTCCGGTCAAGTTTTGAATGTCCACAACCTCTCTGGGCAACCTGTTCCAGTGTTTGACCACCATCAAAGAGGAGAGAGAAAAAAAGCAAAATTTTTTAATATGTTGAAATGCATTTTTTCCATCTCTCAGTTTGTGCCTGCTGCCTCTTAACCTTGATTTAGTTCCACACAAACATAGATAAAAATGTAGAACCTTCACTCTGAGTTTGATATGGTGGTGTTATGTTTCAATTTGCACCCTGTTTGAAGTGAACTTCTGAAGTGTATTTGCAACTGTATTAAGGAAGCAATTAAAAATCAGAGGGTGTAACAGGGGAAATCTAATAATCTTTTGTGACATCAGGAAAATATGTTCAAATCTCACAGATACTCAGTTTGTTCTTTAGAAGTAGCTTTATTATTTCAATGTTTTGTTTCCACTCAGCATTTCACCCATCTGTTTGTAATTAGCATCTGGAAAAGATGCAAAAAAACACCTACCCTGTAGGTAGGATCTCTGGAGTAGTAAGCAGAAAGATATTTTAGTTAGTTCTGAAACTCAGCAGACTTCTCTGTTTCAAAGTGGGAGCATAGCCAAATGTTATTGCTGGAGAAAGCTGCCCCGCCAGCCTTCCTCTTCTTTTTACACAGACAGAGAATCCAGTGTGACTTCATACCCTATTAATAGCTGTGACACAAATGACCTGAACAGAAGTGTGGGTTTCTAAGCCATGTGTCTAAAATGGGGGCTGAGGGACAGCTGGGAGCCTGTCGGGTCATACGGCGTAAACATCATGTGTCGTCAGCACCAGGGCTGGCTGCGGCATTGCAGTAGCTTCAGCAAAACTAGACAGGAGAACTGATTTCAGAGTGAATAGATTCTAATCTGAGAGAGGCATTAACACTTTTTTTTAATATTAGGAGTGGAAAAAATCTTGTATGGAACAGACCTTAAGATACAAAACAAGATGAAATCTTCCGCCAAAATATAAATGACCCAAGAATTCATATTCTTGCACAGATGGAGTTATAAAACTGTTTAGTATTGATGAATTTCAGAACGTAGGCAGCTTTTATATCGTAAAATCATAGAACCATAGAACAGTTTCGGTTGGAAGAGACCTTCAAGATCATCGAGTCCAACCTTTGTACTGGCTCTATCAACACCACTAAACCATGTCCCTAAGTACAATATCTACCCGTCTCTTCTGCTTTCTTTGGAGGATAATATTTTTGTCTGGATAGGATTTTTATTCACAAATCTTCAATAATAAAGTAAAATAGACTAATATTTTAGGACAAAGCAGAGAGGTTAGCGTTAAGTTTTATTTAAAGATAGGAATCTGTCATAATGTCAGCGCTGTCTGCATCGGTTTAATCCTACAGGTAGCATTTAAAAAAATAATGCTAGAGACTAATTTTATTTATTTTAAAGTTTTTTATTATGAACTTTTCTCTGTTGCTTTGCCCACTGGGTCTGTGTTTTTTGGCTTAGTCAGTTCTCCACTAAGAACTATGAGCTTGCCTTTTCATTTACAGTAAATACATTACCATTTGTGCAAGACATTATTGCAAAGAGTGCATGCATAATTGTTTTTGAAGATGACATCCCACAGAACCTGCTTATTATCCATTTCTTATTTTCATATTTTTATTATTATTTTATCCTATTACCACTAGACAAGCAAAAAATCTAAAATTAACTGGGTTCTTCTCTTGAGCAATATACTTCTGTTATAAAATTTACTTGTGCAAGCAAAGTAGTAGCAGCAAAGAAACTGCAAACTCTTACTAGTTTATAGATAATGGGCTTGCCCGTATGTAAATGAAGGCAAAATCTACCTGTAAAATTTTATTAAATGCTTGAAATATTCCAGCATAGCCTGGAGATATAACAGATGAGTCAAGTATGTACTTTTTGCTAGCAAAGAAAGTATATTAAACGCAAAAATCTAGAGAGTGCTATGAAGCAATGTTTTGCACTGTCTGGATTTTATCTGATTATGTTTTATTTGGGAAAAAAAGCTTGGAAGCATATAAAGTGGAAACAATCTTCAGAAATCTTAACTGGAACTTCATTTTAATCAGAGCAATAGCAATGTCATTTTATAAGACTTGACAGACTGGCTGTGTTGATTTGGTTCATGAACAGTTCTGGAATATGACACACAGAATTCGATGCTGGTTTTAGCCTTTCATAGATATATTGCACAGCTGAGCTTTTAAGTTAGGTGCAGATTTATGTCACATGTAGAGATTTAATTCAGTCTTTAATTCAATTCAGTCAAGAATTCAACTAATTTGCCCTTCTTATTGCTTTAATGCTTTATAACTCCTGAATTAATTAAATCTTTTTTCATCCTTTTTTTTTCTGTGAATATTCTGAAATTAATGCACTTTTTAAATGACAGGCACTTTTTTTGATAGAAGATTTGATATAACAAACCAAAAATGTCTTTTATTTCATTTCTTCTGCTCATTGAACTGAGTTGTGAGCATCCTCTGACAAAGCCAATCTGCGTTCTCTTATCGAATTCCTTACATAGGTATGCAGAACAGTGTTTTAGTTCATTATACAGCTGAGGTACTCTGTTTTCTCTTGAGATAAAACATGTCATTTTTGATCATTTCATTTTATCACAAAAACTGCCATGGCTGAGACATTTTCAAACCTCTGGTGTTCTGGTGGTGCCAGATATGGCTTACCTAGTGTGGTAGAAAAACTAATGCAAATTTGTTCACTGAACTCTGACAACTTCCATAACATCTCTCAAAAAGAAAAAGAAAAAAAAAAAGAAGAAAGAAAAAAGGGCAGGAGTAAGTACCACAACACATGATCTTAGCAGACTATTTCACTGTTCCTGCCTTTTCAGTGGGGGTGTGCACTCCATTTGAGCTTGGAATGCCTTCTCAACTTCCAGGCCTTTACGTACTCTTTGTGAACAGCATCTGGTACAGAGGAAATAACTGCTAGAATTCGTGTTGTCTCAACTTTTTGAAAGGAAATTCACTGATTTTTCCTAAGTCTTTAGCTTTATGCTCACTTGTGCATCATTCGAAGATGGTGACACTTCTCACAGCCGTAGTATTATTCGTAAAGCTAGAGCAGAGCTCCCCCTTAGATTCCTAAATAAACTACTTTACTGTGAAGCAACTCTTAAAAACATACGAGACATTCTCAAGATAATGTCCCAAATTCTCTGTTTACAAGACCATTAATTGTTCTGTGCTAGTTTAAAAATTGTGCATTAATAGTAAAGAAATGAAATTGTTTCTTAGATGTCAGCTGTTACAGGGCTTTTGAGAGCGCTTCAGGTGCTAAACGTGGAGATTTACAGCCAGTTTTGGTGCCGTATGATGTTGGAGGCATCTATATTATACCTGACCTGCAGGAGATCGATGATCTTAGAGAAACTGTGGTTTGAGGTCAGACAAGTGTCTTGAGGTACCTAAAATGCCACCTGGCACTTGAATTTATTTGAAATTTCTTATTTCTCCTGTGTTTATTACACACTTATTTTTCCATGGCTTTGGAACTCCTGTTTGCTCCAGAGGTCTTGCGCTGAGAAAAAAATGCGGAGCTATGTTTGGTCTTGTGATATCCTTCCTGTAGTTTGTTCATCACGGAGGAATAGCAAGGACAGGAATAGAAGCTGTCAGGTACTGAATATCTAACATGCATATGCATTCATGTGGGAATACTATAGTGACTTCACCATGCAGACAAATTCAAATTGCTCTTTATTGTCTATTAAATCTGCCCCAAAATTGATGTTCTACAGGCCTCATTGATGGTTATGCAGATGAAAAAGCATTTCTGGAAAAACAACTTCAGGAAAAAATAGATATAATTGACCGTCTTGAGCAAGAACTGCTGTGTACAGGTAACAAATTGCAGGAGTTAGAGGCTGAACAGCAGCAGATTCAGGAAGAAAAGGAGTTACTCACCAGACAGAAGGATGCCATGAGAGCAGATGCGGGGCCAGTAGAGCAGCGTATGTATTCCTCAAAATCTTTCTATGAGATTTTCTTATACTTTCAAATATATAATAAGTAATCTTGATGAAGGTGGTTTTCCCCCCTCTTTGTAATCATTAATAAAAGTGTGATAGGGCAAAATGTGATGTTTTCGTACTTGATGGCTCATGTTAGCCCAGTGACTTTTCCTGATATTTAAGCAGAAAGTCACTGAATTTTCAGAAGTGTTGAGCAATGACAATTGTTCTTTAAGCCAGCAAAAGCTCGATACCTTTGAAAATCTGCTTTTATTTATATTATTGCTGGAGACGGAATATGTTGAAGTTAGCACCTATGGATGAAAATACTGGTCTAAATACTTTCCAAAGTTTTAGAGGGACTAGCAAACATACTGACTGGAACATGATTGAACTACGCATGAGGACCATACTTATTTTAGACATGGAAGATACACTTCTCTGACAAATTCCTCTTTTGGGAAAGAATGACCCAGAAGCTATATTGTAAGGAAAGCTTGTTATCTACCAGTAACAAAAACTTTCAGCACTGGTGGTGAAAATTGCAGATAAATACCATGTCAATGTATTCTAACTAACTGCTTACTCAAAAAAAAGCATTTACCTTTATGAAGTAAATGTGTCTTTTAATTCTTTCTTAAACTAATAACTTAAATTAATATTTTTTGTTAGAACAGTACTGTTTTAAGAAGTATTGATCTTTCAAGGATTGCAGTGCTTACATTGTAAATAGCAGGATGAAATTACCTCTTTATTTAATTTCTAAAAGTTTATGGCATTTTGTAATGTTGCTATTTTTATAAATTACATATCGTGTGTATTTGCTATTTCCTGCATCCACTTTGTGTAACAATGAAATTTTAAAAACAGCCAGTTCTTCCTACTTTGTAGTGAAGAAGATCCTTGTCTATGACTCCAGTTTAGTTATTTGTTATATGTTTTAGGTTTCGAAATATTTTAAAGTTATTTTCACGTATTACAACTGCAAAGATAAACAATTGTCTAAGTATGTGTAGGTACTTATGCATACAAGAATAACTTACCACATTCCCTAGGTTATCTCAACAACTTTGTCATTAAATGCCATATCTATCTTTGGCTTCATTTTCTCTTACATTGTTGCGCCACAAGAAAACTATAGCTGGCATGTGAATTACTTGGCTTCTTTTTTTGTTTTCTCTCTCTCTGTTCTCCTAGGCCTAGTAGATGCTGCAGTCGATGCAGCTTCCCAAGCAGGTGTGTTTGTATGTCGCATGGCCAATCTGTAATTGGTGGAAGACTTACACGTACTGACATTGTTAATCAGGATTATTGGGCTTTTGGCTTACTGACATTATTTGTAATTCTTACTGGCCTGCAGCTTTGATGTTGTATTTCATACTGAGTTCTACGTTTCTCTAACAGCATTTCTTATAATTTCTAAACATAATAAGCAAATTCATGAATAACCATCATCTTATTCACCTATGAACTACAGATACTTAGATGGTATTGGAGGGGTATTTTTGTAGCCTTTTTTTTTTTATTTTTATTTCCAAATACGGTTGAGTCATTCATTATGGTAACTAAACACTGTGTTACATTGGTATTTAATGGTTACTGAGAAATGAGAATTGGTTAAATATGATGTAAGATGATGGTGCCTAAAGGATCTTTCTTCTGTAGTGAAAGTAAATTGTATTCTCTCTGTCTAAATATCAATCGTATTTTAAAGATTCTTCAAATGTAATTGCACTTTACAGTTTGGATTTTACCTCAAGGGATTCATATGGTTAGTTAATATGTACTTCAGTGGGCTGCGGCTTAAGAGTCTTAGTAGAGTGGTTTGGGGCTTTACTATATATGCTTGCCACCCTTTTCATGAGGACTCAAAATTGGTCATCCATGCAGTCACTGATTTTACAAAGCTCCAGTTACAGGTCAGTAGTTTCCCTCTCTATCTGCCCTGCAACCTTGCTAAGTCATTCAATATTTCCTTCAAATTATTTATATGTATCACATTAAATGATGAAGACTGGGAGTGGATTGATTTTACTGACACTGGGGATGAGAAGAGGGTTGGGTTTTCTGTTCTCCATTGTTAACCCCTGTGCTGACTCTAGCTGTAGTCTGAACCCATGCATTTTCTTTTCAATTACAGAAAGACCTTTTAATTTATATGAAACTTAAACAGAGAAGTGATCTGATACAACTTCACTAACAATCCTCTGAAGCCTAACTAAAGGATAGTAATTTTGATATGAATTTTCTTCAGCAATTATCTTGTTATTTTCTCCAGAAAGAAGAAAATATGTGTTCTAAAAAAGAAAAATAGTAAAAACCCAAACTAGTTCACATCCTTCTGCAGAGTACAGCATGGATACCTTGGGGAGTGGTTTTGCTTTGTAACATTGCTAACTGTTCATATCTAAAAGTAGTGTGTGATGATTTTATTATAACCAGAATTGCTGGAGGAAACAGAAAAGCTAATGAAAGAAAAAATTGAAGTACAGCGTCAAGCTGAAAAAGAGTATGACGACCTTCAGAAGCAAGTGAAAGTCTTGGAAATAGACTTGGAAGAACAGGTCAATCGTTTCATAGAGCTAGAGCAAGAAAAAAATGCAGAACTAATGGACGTAAGGCAGCAAAACCAGGCTTTGGAGAAGCAACTTGAGAAAACAAGAAAGTTTCTAGATGTAAGTATGATAAAAGGCTAGTTTCATGAAGATGAGTGGGCACCTGTACTGAGGTTTGGTTCAGCGGGAAATGATATTTAATTCAGATTTTGAGTAAACGTAAGGAACCACACAATAGTAACAGTGTTATAGGTTCCAGCCCAAGAATTTAATTAACATTTTAAAAGTTGAAAATTTGTTTGAGATGCTTGCTTAGGACTGCTCTGTATTTCAAAGTAGAACTTAGTAGGCTTCTTAAATGTTTAAAATAACGGGAAACTTCTAAAATCAATGAGGAAACAGAAATTTTTGTGACCTTAATTTTAAACAGTTTGTGAAATTTCCATGTTTTTCAGTAAAGTCTGTTAGGATTAGTCTAAAGTCTGTCCAAGGCCCTGCATCTGGATCGGGCCAACTCCTGATATCAGTATAGGCTGGGGGATGAGTGGGTGGAGAGCAGCCCTGCCGAGAAGGACTTGGGGGTGCTGGTGGTTGAAAAGCTGGAAATGAGCCAGCAAGTTGCGCTCACAGCCCGGAAAGCCAGTCACATCCTGGGCTGCATCAGGAGCGGAGTGGCCAGCAGATTGAGGGAGGGCTTTCTGTCCCTCTGCTCTACTCTGGTGAGAACTCACCTGCAGTGCTGTGTCCAGCTCTGGGGCCCCCAACAAAAGACATGGACCTGCTTGAGTGGGTCCAGAGGAGGCCACAAAGATGCTCAGGGGGCTGGAGCACCTCCCCTGTGAGGGCAGGCTGAGAGAGTTGGGGTTGTTCAGCCTGGAGAAGAGAAGGCTCCAGGGAGACCTTCTAGCACCCTTCCAGTACTTAAAGGGATCTACAGGAAGGGTGGGGAGGGTCTCTTGATCAAGGAGGGTAGTGATAGGATGAGAGGTAACAGTTTCAAACTGAAAGAGGGGAGATTTAGATTAGATAGTAGCAATCATTTTTTCACAATGAGGGTAGTGAAACACTGGCACAGGCTGCCCGGAGAGGTGGCAGAAGCCCCATGCCTGGAAACATTCAAGGTCAGGCTGGACGGGGCTCTGAGCAACCTGATCTGGCTAAAGGTGTCCCTGCTCACTGCAGGGGGTTGGAGTGGATGGCCTTTAAAGGTCCCTTCCAGCCCAAACTATTCTATGATTTTGTGACTTTAGGTTTTGCTTTATTTCTACCTGGAAATTGAAAGCATAATTTCTCTAAGTTTCTTTTATAGTCTTCCTTCATAATATCCTAGATGCTACGCTAAACTTCCCAGCCAGTTCTCTTATACATATATTTGTCCCCATTCAGAGTGGCAGCTGCCTCTGTTACACTGAACTTCTTCCTGCCTCAGGCTGTCTCTGCAATTTTGTTTTAGACTCTACCCCATTTTCAGCAAATGCTATCTTCCCCACCTCCTCCTTTTCCCATTTTATTCCTATAAAGTGTCCTGTGCTGCTCTTGGGAGAGAACTATTATTTCTGTGCCTTCTCAATTAACTCTATAGCTGACAGCAGTAGGGTGGAATAATTTCTTACATAATAAATATAACACTCTGTGGCACCTTCTCTGCATAATCCATTATTGAACAGTATTAAAGGAGAGATCTTTCCAGATACTTATTAGTGCAAACGGATTTGCTGTATTTCATTTTCTACAATTACAAGATTATTTTTCTCACTGAAACTAGTGTGTCATAACAGGACAAGGTTCAGAAGTAAAAACTCGTAATACAAGTTCCTTAGTCATAACTGCATTATGGTTTGGGATTATCAGTAGCTTGAATGGGAGAGTTACGGACCACTGAGAGGAGAAGCTGTTTGTAGTAGCAGCAGTAGAATTCTGCTGTTTCCTTGGAACAGCAGGTGAGTTTTAAAAATCTGCAACTTGGAAAGTTTGAGTTTTTATTCTGGTTTCCAGAATTTTTGCAAAATATTTAGTTGCTAGACTGAAGCATCCCTCTTTGTATCAGATACTTCAGCTAGTTTATTTTGATGTATCTGATAAAGTTTGTCTGGTTTACAAAGTGGCATTTAAAGGTGGTGCTTCACTGAGTGCTACCAGTTGCACATTATTTCCTATGTAAAGATGTATTTCCCAAATGTCAGACGGGGATATAACGGCTGAAACTGGTCAAAAGTATAAATGAAATGCAAAATTCAAAAAAATGTATTTTTTTTTCCTGTTGGCTCCCCATCAATATTAACACAGAGTTAATTTCTATTCTGAGTTTCCATTTATGCTACATATATCAAAGGAAAACATTAGGAAAAGAAAATCATAAAATATTGGCTTATTAACATTTATGTGGTGTACCTGGAACAGAAGAAACAGAACTGTCATTTTTGTGAAATAATACTTCATGTATCTATGCTGCCTTAATTTTTTAATTAAAAAATGTGAGATTTGTTGCCTCAAATGACGAAATAATTTTTTGTAATGGTAGTTGAAAGAGATTCAGCGACCTTAAAAATACTGGTGTACTGTTACCAGCCTCACGTTAACAGAAATAAGTAGTAGTAATATACTTAATTTAGATTTTAAATCTTCTAATTTAGTTTTTAAATCAAATGGTGTACTCACATAATTTCTTAACTTTCAGGAGCAAGCGATTGACCGAGAGCACGAGAGAGATGTATTCCAACAAGAGATTCAGAAGCTGGAACAACAGCTTAAGATTCCACAAAGGAGTCAGCCTGTCAATGAACATCAAACCAGAGAGGTAACATGTTTTATTACTTGTACTCAATGAATAGAAATGACAGCTGTTACAACATTGTAATGAAGCTGGTTTATGGTGTACCTAACCTTCATCCACTTACAAGCCAGGGAAGTAAATCCCCATAGATGAAGGGTAAGGTGTTGGGGCAAAGTGGTGAAACTGTGTTTTGGGGTTTTTTTAGGCTGGTTGGTTGTTTCTAGTAGTAGATGTACGGAGACGTTGTGACTTTCAAAAATGCTCTTTCATATAAATTTATTTAGAAAATCCACTGTTTTCAAAGCCTGTGGAAACGTTCAGGACTACTTTAGCAATTTCACATATTCTTCTGTTGCTTCGTGACATCCCATTTATAGCACCGGTACACAACTGAAGGGCTTGACTTACCATGGTTTAGCACCTGAGCCGTAGCAGCATGCTCTATGTACGCTTGAACCTCCCCCGTGCAAGTCTGTTTTCACCAAAAAAAATTTAGTGACTGTAGAACAGCAGCTCAGGGGAGTCACAGAAAACTCTTAGACCCAGCAAAATCAAGAAAAGTGGCGGCAGTGCAAATGCTATATACTATGAAGCTTTTGCATGATTTATTTGATGGCCTCATAGTCAATTAAACTGCATTTTATTTTTTGTGGGTTTTCTTATGTCCTGCTTTTTGAGCAAGGCTGATATTTTTGCATTATTTTCTTGCCTGATTTTCAGTATTAAAACACCTCTTACTAGGTTGCACTGCGATCTTCAAATCAAAGCTCTTACTGAGGTAGTTCAGTTGCTGTAATTAAATTCTTCAATATTAGCAATACTTATTACTCTATACTTTAGGACCATAGACAGTAATAGGACATAAACTAATACATATGAGATGCGAGTTGTCGAAATCACAGAATGTTAGGGGTTGGAAGGGACCTTGAAGGATCATCTAGTCTAAACCCCCTGCCAGAGCAGGACCAACTAGAGTAGATCACACAGGAACTTATAATTCTCACGTTTAGAGGTCTATTTCATGGGGGGTTTTAAATGTATTTTAATCAAAGGTTTGTAAGGAGTCTTACAGACAAAGTATTCAGTCGTTACTATGTGATATGGCTGTTGGCAGCCTCTGTGAACAATGAATCTTCTGAAATTAGCTGGGTACATGTCAACCAACACATATGGAGCAATTCTGCATTTATTTCCTTCTATTGCAGTGTTCGCTCACTCCTCTCCCGTTGGCATGTTCCACAGATGGGAGAGACTTTTTTAGCAGTTAGTTTTCCTGAATCCAGGATATTCCTTATAAGTTCATTTTGTTATGTGTCTGTTTAGAATTTGGACATGGGTAGTGTGTGAATTCCTGATTAAAATTCTCATGTTTAAAAGAAAGAAAATTCACCCAAGAAAAAAATTTCAAATTTGACAGCATAATAAAAATTGTCCTATTTTTCTGTACAGAATCTGTATGTAAAAATCATCCTGATATATATGCACATGCACACATGTGTATGTCAGCAGATATGCTACAATGGAAATTTAAAGCAGGCTTTAAAACAAAAGACAGCTGTGACTGATTAAAATTTTGAGATTTGTATTAGATGCTTTTAAATTAGAATTTTTAGTAGGTAGAAAGATAGACAATAAGATTGTGTCTGCAAGCAGCAAAGGTGTAGCAGCAACTAGAGCTGGGTGATGTTCAATGTGATACATTACAGTTTATAGACAGTTTCAATAGTGTATTGGATTTACATTTAATTTTTGTCAAATGGGGCATATAGTCTTACTATATAGTATATTTTGATGTCACAACGTTACTTGGAATATTTCATAAATATACATTTTGTCATTATTTTATGAGAAAGATACTTTTTTTTTCATAGTTGCACAGTTTTTGAAATGCTCTTCTGCTTTGCGTGAATGCTATGAGCATTTTCTGTTGATAACATCATTTCTTTTTCACTGTTGTTTCAGCTTACTCTGTCAACTTATGCCAGAGAGGGTGGTCGCAAAGAGTCTGCTCTAGACTTGATTTTTCTTTTTCCATTTCTCTCTCAGGACTTTTCTGTGGTCACTTCAGACTTTGATGTTACTCATGGATGGATAACGTCAATAATACCATCCTGTCAGCTTTATGTTCTGGTCCTCTTCTCTCCTATCTATTGAAATGCTTTGAGTCTTCTACCTTTTGGCTCCATCGTAACTTCCTAATTGTAAATACTGAAATCAGTTTCTTGAGTGGGACAAACACTACTTTCCATGTCTCTTTCTTGATTGCTTCGTTTAACTCAATCCTTAACTCTGTGCATCAGGCCTAATACCATGGATTTGTTAATCAAAATTACAGACAGGAAAGATGTGTAATCATTTCTGAAATACTGCTAGAACTGGGGTCATTCCTATCTCTACTACTTCAGTTACTCTTTTAATAAGTTGTTTCTGAGCCACAAACATCTGAGCTGCTGAGATTCAGAATGCATTATTTGGATGCTTTGTTCCCTATAGAAAGTGAAATTCTATCATCGATCACATCTGTTTGGTCCCGTTTAACAAACCCAGCAAAACCCCAAAACTTCCCGTTTCCTAAGACTGAAGTACAGCTATTCTCTTCAGTGTTAAAGACCCAGTGGGTTTTAGGATATGTCTGTAGGTCACCAATCAATTCCTGATTTTGAATAATTTTGTCACAGATTTTTGGAACTACGACATTCCTCAAAGATGCAAATAGCATCTTGACCTTAGGGTCAAGACATTCCATCCATAGATGTTGAAGGTATCTTTGTAGTGGGCTGCATAGGGATGCCATGCCACTTGCTCTTAACTGACTAGAGAGTCTGAAGGCTTCAGAAGGATGAGGTCAGTTCTAGAGAGTAGGTGACATAGCACAGAACATACGACTTCTTAAAAAATGCTGTTTGTATTTGTTGGATGTAGCGCTCTAGTATCCTAGGTTCACATTCTGTTTCACGTAAAGACTAGGAGTTCCATTACCAGACAAAAAAGAGATATTTTTTTCTCTGACAAAAATGAGTGCTGTTGCTGTTGCTAGCAAACCCTTTCAATCTAGTACAATATATTCATCTTCCTGCCATGTTGTCACCAGGTTGAACAGTTAACAAATCATCTAAAAGAAAAAACAGACAAATGCAGTGAGCTTTTGCTCTCTAAGGAACAACTTCAGAGAGATATACAAGAACGAAATGAAGAAATTGAGAAATTGGAATGCAGGATAAGAGAACTGGAACAAGCCTTAATCATCAGTGCAGACAACTTGCAAAAGGTATTGCTTGGACTAAAATGATCCTGTATTCACTACTTTCTTATTTTCTTGAGAAAGAACCAGTATATCTTTTTTTATTTGTTTATTATTAATATTATTTCTATTTAAAGGTGGAGGAAAGGAAGCAGTTTGGCACCATCATAGTAAAGGGAGAATTACCTCTTGAAATACAGCTGCAAGCTGAACGAGAAGCTGTGGACAGAAAGGAAAAGGAGGTGAAATACCTGTGAAATGTTCTATGTTTCCCCTTATATATGTTTGGTTTATCAAGTTTTGCTTTCTGTTGAATTTAGTGAACTATAAAGATGAAGTTTTTTAACAGATCAAAGAGACAGCAGTCTTTGGAATTCTCTTGTAAGCCATGATAATTGTTGTTATTTTATATGTTAATGCTGGTGGCTTACAGGAGTGTTTCTGGAATCAAAATTCAGCCTAATTAAGAAAAATTCATAGTGATTTCAGCTGATTTTTAGTGGATTTTAAAATTCCATTCGGTTTAAGGACTCAGAATGTCACTGAGTACACATTCTTTTGTTTGTGCATACCAAACCAGTTTACTGCAGACATTGCACTTAAAAATTATGACATTCAATTTTTGGTATGGCTGTCTACTCTTTTTCCACCGTGTGTTTTGGAAACATAGGTCACGAACCTTGAGGAACAACTGGAGCAGTTTCGAGAGGAGCTAGAAAATAAAAATGAAGAAGTTCAGCAATTGCACATGCAACTGGAAATTCAGCGGAAGGAGTCCACTACACACTTGCAAGAACTTGAATGGGAGAACAAATTGTTTAAGGTAACTGTAATACAGAAGCTTTGCTCTCCCTCCTCCCAAGAAATAAATTCTTGGAAAAAGCCAAGACGCCAAATTCCTTCTCTTTCGCAAGCATTGCACAGTTCAACTTGCAAAATATTAAAAAGCTCATATAATTACTTCTCATTCCGTGCAATTTAGTTTAATTCCTATGCCTCAGATACTCATACACAAAGATGCAGAAAATGTTATGTACAACTGTAACATGGTGGGTTTTGGGAGGCTTTTTGTTTGGGTGGGTTTTTTTGGTTTGTTTTTTGTAGGATGAAATGGAAATACTGGGCCTAGCTATCCAGAAATCTGAAGATGCCACCATAAAGGACCATCATTTAGTGGCTGGGAGGCTTGCTCACTTCATGCAAGAAAAGGAGCAGGAAATAAATCATCTTCATGAGCAAATTGCAAAACTGCAACAGCAACTTGAAGTCACAACTGACAACAAAGTACATACTTTTGAAATCTTTTTCAGAGTCCTACTTTGTGTTGCTAGCTGTGTAAAGAAAAAAAAAAACTGTCCATCCTGTCCATCCCCAATTAGGTTATCTTCTATTGCTGCCTTAATTTAAAAATGCAAATACTTCAGTTTCAAGGAATGATTTGACACTAATCTGTCCTTCCTCTTTTGTCTCATTTTTTTATGAAGGATACTTTTTGCTTGCTTTTCTTTTTATCGTTCTGCCTTATTTCTGCTTGAGTTTTTGTTTTAAATTCTTTTCATTCCTTATTCTTCTAATACTTCTGAACATTTAATAGTACGTAGGTGGCTGAATTCAATCTCAACATTCATTCTACCATCTTTTCGACAATTACATCCTTTCAGTGGTACGTTTCAGTGACGACTGCTGCATCGTGTTGGATTTTAGAGGGTCTTTAGCAGTTGCACTTTTGTGTTACATGAGCTTGTGTAAACACTTTCTCATCACACCAGTGTTGGCAAGATCTTTAATCCGGTTTGAAGCATGGTTGATGTGCAAACAAAATGCTGTATTTTATTAGAAATGGAGAGCAAGAAAGAAAGCAGCAGACTTATCTTTCTTTTATTTTACTGATATTTAACACCTGTAACTTTTTGTTATTTTCGAATTAAGTGTTTCCATGATAACAAGCTTAATCTTTTTCTGGCCTCTGTTTCATACAGACATAATGCATTTGATTTTGACAGAAATACTACTTACTTTGCATTGGTGTAAGTGACAGCAGAAACATGCCTTCAGTCTCATTTTTTATAGAAAGAAAATTGGATTTTTCCCGTGGATGAATTTTTTATTCTGACCATTATAAATATGAAAATTTATTAGTCATAAGCTTCATCCCCAAAGCAGGTATTATTCAGTAAGGTAAGAACAGGAATTCTGTTACCCCTCAGTAGCTGACTGAACATTTAGGGTAACATTCTATGAGGACATACTGAATCCAGTAACATAGAGTTCTGACCGAGCTGGATAATTGCACTGAGTTTTTTATGTGCAAAATTTAGTTACAGTGAACGTCAGTGAATAATGACGAAACTTTGAAATGGATTTAGGAAACTGGATTTTGGAAAGATCATACTTTAGGAATCCAGAACAATTCTGCTGTATACAATGACCACTATAATAAGGTTCCATGTCTTGCCTTGTGAAAAATACCCAGGATTCAGGTATAATTAATTATAATGATTGGTTCTTCTGCTGTTATATGAAGTTTAATTTTCTTAATTTTCATCCTCTTACTCAGTTATATTTTCCAGGACATTAAATAATCACTTTACTTGATTATGAGATCAGTATTAAACATGAATAGATGTTCTTACGTTAGTCCCTTCCCTAGTCCCTTAGATATCTTCATCCCACTAAGTGCTTTTCTTTTAATTGCTGTGTTTGCCTTCTGTGGTTCTTTATTCCATCATGTCATGAAGAACAGAAACTGTTTTGCTGACTTGATAGCAATCACCAGGATCACTTGTTTTCATCTGAAAATGGATGGCTTGTTCACATTTTATTTAGTGTTTTTGAGCTTCCTCTAGTGTCGTTGGATTTTTAAAAATAAGTTCTTGGTTGGCAAATCAGCTGCTCTAATTTACATGGTCACATTTATAATTTATTTTTCTAACTGTTCTACTTACTACAAAGTTGTCTAATTATTCTAGTTAACTAACTAAACCTAATGAAGTGTTGAGAGATGAAGGAAAACTCATGGCTATTCTAGTAATGAATTTAGTTATCGTTCTTCTTTTCTGCATTTTTTTTTCTTCTTCGTATTTCTAAAAGGCCCTTTTAAAGTTCTTACCTATTTTAGGTACCATAACTGATTTTATTTTATAATATCTCTTTCCAAATATTTTTGACAGATTTCCTTCTGCCTTTTTCATTTCCAGTGTAGAAGCACTGTTCACTTCAGATCTCTAGACATTCCCTTAAGAAAATATATGCACTTTGTTTCTTAGACTTACTACTTATAATCTAGTCTGGCTTTTTTTTTTTACTTTCTAAAGGACTTTTTGTCATTCTTCTACACTCAAATGGGAATTTGTTCCTACTGCAATTTAACAAGCAGATTTTTTAATGAATTTTATAAAGCTTATTCTATTGGAATCTGATAACTTGTCTTACTATTCCTTTTGCTAAGACTTTTTTGCTTATTAAATCTTAGTGTTCGTCAACACCACTCATTCAATTTTTTGTGTCTACTCGTTTAGTTCTTGTTAGAAGCTGTTATAAGATGCTTATCTTTTCTGCATCGTAAAGCCATCACCCTCATATTTGCTCAGTCCCATTATTTTATGCATTTCTTGGAATTCTGAGCCCCTTACACAGCCTGTAATTTTAAGTGTCTTTATAACTAATCTAGGGAAGTATTATTCTCACCCTCTTCATGTCTTCAATCTCTCTTTCAGTTTTGTTTGAATAGTCATATGCATTTTAAAATAAATACTTCTATAACTTTGTCTCTCTTTACTTCCATTTAAATAAATAATTGTGCTCCAGGTCTACAGGTACTATTTGCATGTTTTTGTGCATACCTGCATATGTGTATGCACACACACATAAACAGGCAAACAGACATTTAGGTTTGTGATAGGAAGTGTCAGAGTCAACTGATACATGTTTTCTGTCATCTCAGACTAAAAAGCATGTTATAATGATATTTTTCAACACAATTAATTAAAAGTCTATTTGTATTTAAAATACATATCCATCCTAATTGGCTGTGTCCTATATAAATCTATTTGACCATATGAATGAGTGGTGCTTTTGCATGAAGAGCACAGTATCTGTCTCATCCAACTGAAAGTGTCTGACCTGTGTATGGGAAACTCAGGGATCTTTTTGAGTAAAAACACTATATAAAATCTTGATAAGGGCAGACAGAGCTTTAGACCAAGCTGTTGGGGAAAAAAGGATTGTGAACACTTAAACATCAGTGTTTCGTAGCTCCGTGAATATTACAAAAGCTTTCACTTCATTTGATGCTTTCACACCTATTTTGCAGTTCACTAAGGTCACAGGCTACTTTGTCAGTCCTATGTGAAGATGTCCTGATTCTCATAAAGCTTTACAAGAGGCATCACATTAAGAAATTCACTGAGGATGTACTTTCTTTTACAAGATGTGTCAATGTTTGATTAAACAGTCGCTGTGAAGTCCAGGAGAAAAATTACCTGAGGGTTTAATAGTTACCTATTTTGAAGTTCCTTTCTTGGTTTGGTGTGTGTGTCCCCCCCACACAGGTTATTGAAGACCAAAATGAGCATATACGGGAGCTTGAAGCCCAGGTAGAATGTCTGAAAAGTGATCAAGAACGTGTGAAGAAAAGAAATTATGATGAAGTAGAGCAGTTGAATGATAT